CTCTTGGTGCTCCCAGCTCTTCTTGGCAGATGTTCCATGCTCTGTCATCCTGGTATCTCCACTTCACTTTAACAACTTCACAAATCAGCCTCTTAGAGCCTCTGCAGGGCCTTCCCTGATACACACTGCCTGGCCTCACAGGCTGTTTCCTGGAACCTTGACACAAGCCTCCACGACTCCATCACTCTTACATTGACATACCTACAAAAGCAGCACTATGTGGATAAGCTCTGCTGACAGCTTGAGATGCAACTTGGTCCCCGTAGGCAGTGGCTGCAGTGGCCTCTGATTACCTGTGCTGCTGAACCAGGGAAAATGTTTCCCTGGGTGTCCATGTTGGAGCAGGGCACTCTTCTCAAACATTCTCTCTCTAAATGAAGTTTTAGAAATGGGTTTGCATTGTTGCACTCTCATGACTTCAGTGGCTGGGGTCTTGCCCTGAAGACTCTGTTTCTATTGTCCCAGTGCGTCCATGCTTTGTCTTTAAAGGATCTAATCTTAATACTTATAGCCACTTTGCTCACACTCATCTTGCCTACAACTTTAATCAGGTTCACATTCCTTTTCTCACCAAACTGTGCACTTTTTCACACCTTTCTACTACACGGTCTTCTCTCGTCTCTCTGGCTAAAAGGAGTGAGCAGTAACCATGCCACAGCCTGAATGCTATGCTGTCCTGACATTTCCTCTGACAATTTAGTCTTTAAATTAAAAAATATTAAATTCAGCTTCACTCATATTTCAGGACGGGGCAGAATATAGCAAGATTTTTGGCTAGAAAATGGAACATGAATGGCCCCTAACTCAGTTCCTGATAGTCTCTGCTCCCCTCTAAAACCTCACAAGCCTGGCTGTTCCTGTCTGCCTTTCTGCCTGCATTCTGGTCTTCTGTATTCCCACAAGAACTGCTCATTTGGCCCTTCTTATAAGCATTCTAGGGCTTTTCTAGTCTGCAGCTCCAATCTCTTCTACATTCCTCCTGCAAACCATTCCCAAAGACCTGAGAAACACAAGATCAGGGTTTTCACTGTAAGGACCCTACTTCTTGGTACCAGCATCTATTTTCATTACTTTTACATTGCTGTGATCAAAACACCTGACCTAAAATTTAGGGAGTAGAATTCATTGAACTCACCAGTTGAGCAAGTTTAGTCCATTATGGCAGGAAGGTGTGGTGGAGTGCATGGCAGTAGGAGCACGTGCTGCTGACTACTCACATTTCAGTGGATTCAGATGTAGAGAGGTCTGGCTAGAAGGAAAACTGGCTATAATCCTCAAGTCATGCCTCCCTGCTTCCTCCACGAAGGCCTCACTTCCTAAAGGTTCCACAACCTCTCCAAACAGCACCATTATTGAGGGTCCAAGTGTTCAAACACAGGAGCTTGGCACGGGGCATGGGGTTTCCACATCCAAACCATAACAGGTACATTCATTATTCTATAAGCATTACCATTATCTACTTCCAGAACTTTTTAAAAAAATCATTCTAAACTGCAAATTTTAGCCATTAGACAAAAACCGCCTCCCCCAAGTCCATCCCCCAGTAAATGTCTATTGTCTGTATGAAGTTGCTTATGCTAGGCATCTCATCTAAGTGGACCCGTTCTATCTGGTTACTTCACTTCCCTTGCTTTTAATGTCCATCCCTTATTGCATCATATTTCAGAACTTCATTATGACTAATGTTCCCTTGTATGTATTATGATCCCCCCTCCCCATTTAGCTGTTGGACACACATTACTGTCACCTTGTGAATGTTGTTAGGAACATTAATGTACACGTATCTGAGTTCCTGCTCTATTTATCTAGACTTGCTGGATAACAGTAATGCTACATTTACCTACCTTTCTCCCTCCCTCCTTCCCTCCATCCCTCTGTCCCTCCCTCCCTCCCTCCCTTCCTTTTTTTTTTGAGATGGGGTTTGGCTAAGTTACCCAAGCTAGTCTCAAACTTCCTCAAGCAATCCTTCTGTCTCAGCATCCCAAGTGCTGGGACAGGTGCACACCTCCATACTCAGCTATTATTTTCATTTAAAAAACATTTTTATCTTATGTGTATGAGTGTATCGCCTGAATGTAAGTGCACCCATGTCAGGCAATGCCCGCAGAGGTCAGAACAGGGTGTCAATCCCCTAGAACTGGAGTTAAAGACAATTGTTAGCGGCCATGTGGGTGCTGGGAACCAAACCCAGATCCTCTGTAAAAGCAGCCAGTGTTCTTAACCACTGAGCCATCTCTCCAGCCCCAAATTTTCACTTCCTAGTCATCCTAGCAGACAAGAAGTGATACCTGTGTGATTTACATTTTACTTTTACATATTTAAAAAATTTTTATTTTATGTGTATGAGAATATTGCCTCCACATGTGTCAGTGCACCCGTGTCATGCAATGCTGCGGAGGTCATAAGAGGGCTGCAGATTCCCCTGGAAATGAAGTTACAGATGGTTGTTAGCTGCCATGTGGGTTCTGGGAATTGAACCTGGGTCCTCTGTAAGAACAGTTAGTGAGAACAGTTAGTGCTCTTAACCACTGAGCCATCTCTCCAGTCCACATTTTTATTTTTTTCACTCACTACTAGAAACAGAGTCCAATTTGTGCAGTCTTCGATAGGTGTATACATTCTTGCTTGGCTCTAATGACTTTTTTCATCTACTTTAAATTTCTAAGTGCTACTCCACTGTGGGTGAGTTTCATTCTTTCCCCACCCTATTGGTGGCATGTGACAATGTCTTGAGACATTTAGAGTTGTCTCAGTTGAAGATACGGGCACTACTGGCATCTAGTGGGTAGGACCTAGGGATGCTGCAGACATCTGCCAATGTGGAGGACAGTCTTCCAACAAAGACTGGACCCGATGCTAACAGTACCAAGGTGGGGAAAGCTGCATTATAACTAGCCTCTTATGGTTCATGCACTTTCAGCAAGTGCCAGAACAGTGGATTTCTGCTTCTGAAAAGGTACTAACATTCTGATAATGCTGCAAAAGCCCCAAATCTCCTCTTATAATAGCCTCCATGTGCAGACCTAAATCACTTGAGTGCAATTATTGAATTAGTTGACTATGAGTTTAATAACCTAAACTACAATTGAAATGAAAATATTGCCACTCATATTTTAAAAAATATAATTTTTATTTTATATGTATGAGTGTACTGCCTGCATGTATGTGAGTGTACCTGTGTCATGCAATGCTGCAGAGTTCAGAAGAGGACTTCGGATTTCCCTGGAACTGGAGTTAAGGATGGTTTGTAGCTGCCATGTGGGTGCTGGGAATAGAACCCGGGCTGTCTACAAGAGCCATCTCTCGAGTGCCTGCACAGACAGACCAGAGGACCGAGTGCCTGCACAGACAGACCAGAGGACCGAGTGCCTGCACAGACAGGCACAAACCTTGCCAGTGTGAATCCTCTATCAGGCCAAATGCTCTTCAAGAGTATTTAATGCCCATTTATCTTTTAAGTGGAATAAGGTATGGAAACATTGTTAAAAAATGGAAAACTTTAATTATTTAAAGCAAAGGCACAAGTAAACATTTCAGGTTATCATACAGTGTTACAATAAAAAATTCCAACAGTAAATTGAAATACATTATAACTTCGCATCTAGAATGTATTGTGTCATTTCTTCTTTGGAGATCATTGGATATCATGTAAAAACTTGGATTATAAATACCATTCATCCTATTACTTTTAACCAGAAGTTTTAATTTCAGAATTAAAATGATTAAAAAATTTATTGTTTGCTAATGTAGAACAGCAAAAACTCCCAAGTTAAACTCATTGCTTTAATAAGTAAATCACTGATTTCATAAATGTTAGCTGTCAATGTGTGGTACTATACAATAACCAAGCTGGCCATGAAAAGCTTTCCGAAACATAATTGATATATTTATTTCTTTCATTCAACTACTACAGTGCATTATGCAAATGGTGAACGAGAAACCAAATGACTTCTTAGGATGCCAGGAATAATATACTTCAAAAGGTCTGGACGTTATTTTCAGTCAAAGGCACTGCCTGGAAAGTAACAAGCTGCATCATGTTCAGGGCTGCACAAGATTTTCGTTCAATGTAACTAGCCAGTTAGATGGAACTTGGTATCTCAGTTAGTCAGCAAATACTGAGTGTCTGCTGCCTGGCTCAAACAAACAAAAACAACAAAAACCCAAATACCAAAAACCAGAGTAGAAATTGTATAAAATTATCTTTGACCTTGTTTTCCAAAAAGAAAAGTGATGGGTTAATTTTGAAGAAGTCAGGCTGGAGGTGTAGCTTGGTGCTAGAGAGCTTGCCTAGTGTGTATAAGGCCCTGAGGTCGCTCCCCAGTACAGGAAAAAAATAAGTCTATCGAAATGCTTCCTTGATGCTAAGGTCTCTGTTCCTTCATCTCAAGGCAATTTCTACTTTATTGGAATTACTCACAGCCTCTCCTTTTAGCATGTCACCCAGGGTGGTAAGGATACTTGGAAGGTAGTTATCCCAAGGGAACAAGTTTTTCCATTGTGAGTCATTCTGTTTACCTTCCCCAGACTATCCTTCAACTTTGAGTGTGAGCAACATTTGCAAGACACAAAAATACCAGATGAAATAAAATCCATCAATAAAACACAGCTAAGCGCCTCCAAGTATTGAACAAAATACAGTAAATTTGAATGACTGGAGCCACATCAGGGCACAGAATCCTACTGCGCCCTAAATGCCAGGGAGATTGCAAATCCTTCCTATGATCTATGTGAATTTAAAAAAGACAAGATCGTACTGTGTTTCCCAGGCTAGTCCAGTACTCACGTGATCTTCCTGCCTCAGCTTCCTATAGAATAGCTGGACTGTAGGTATGTACTGAACCTGGCTTGACTCAAAGACCTTGAATGAATGTTTCTAGTTTTAGGGTTTTTTTTTTTTTTTTTTCCCATTGCCCAAATTACAAGGGCTTCAAAAAATTAAGGCTTAATTATCATGATTTTTTAAAACCAAAGCCCTTTAATGAATTTTTTTATTTTTAGGGTTTTTTTTTTTTTTTTTTCCATTGCACAAATTACAAGGGCTTCAATAAATTAAGGCTTAATTATCATGATTCTTTAACACCTAAGCCTTCGGAAATGCTCTAAGCATTTCTTTTGTTTCCTTCCTTTCTTCCTTTATTTTGGGGAGTGGTGGTGATGATACTGGGGCATGAACCTAGGGATTCACCTGGGCACTGATAGCCTCCTGATGGACAATACAGAACCCCCAAGGAGCATCCCACAGGAACCTGGGACTCTAGGAGTGCTGGTCAATTCTAATAGAGCAGCCTGACTGTTGATACTCATATATTCATGTCTACATATGACACTCAGGAAACAGATTCAAATGAAATTTATTTCTACAGTATTGCCAGAGAAAAGTGAATTGAAGAAATTCACCAGCTAGACCTTTTCAAAAGCTTTGGAGCGAGATCGCATTGGTACCTCAGCTCTGCTAAGTTACGAGCTTGTGATCACAGGTAAATTAACCACTAGAATTTAACTGGTATTATGGACATAGAAGGCATGTTTTCAATTTTGTTTGTCAGATGAGAAAACAGCTATGACAGCCTTGCTGACGAAGACCAGTCCACAATGCAGCATAAGGCTTTACATCTAGTTTTAGCAAGAAAATAACTTGTCTCTTCTATGCCATTCATAAAAGTTTTTTTCTTTATATATGCAACATTCTGTGCAAAAATGTACTTCCGTACACAATGATTCCTACTCTCCTCTTCCCACTGTGGCTCTTTTCATAGGCTGCTAATAAACTGAGGGCAGGAAGTATCCAGTCAACACATTCCTGCGGTCTTTCCACAGGTAACTTGGGTGCCTCTCCCAACTTACCAATGCCTGGCATTCAGCTTTCTAGAGAAAAAGTCTAAATAATACAAAAGGAAGAATTAGGAGGAAAGGATTCTTATGGCTTTATCTGCTGATTAGAAACTAGAGAATTTAAATATAATACTCATAGATGTTTTTCAGATATATCGCTTGTGCATCTTGGGTCTTAGCACAGTGTTTAAATTATATGAAGCAGAATATCAGCACTAAGTAATATGTGCCATAACCTCTTTAATCATAAAAAATTTGTTAGCCACATACACACAAAGCAAAGGCCCTACCAATAGTGTTTTGAACAGCTCTAGTTATGAATATGTAGTGCCGAGTGCTAAGCAAACCACTAAAGCTGTTAAAATATTAGTGTCTGATTCGTATTTTAGTCTTCTTTTAACCTATTATTTACAGAAGTTCTGTTATAATGCTGAAAGCAGACATTTTTCAACATGTATGCTCTTCATAAAATGATGTCCAACATTGGGTGATTCAAATTTATAAATATGTACAAATATATATCTTTAGTTAACCTACTATTCTAACACATGGAAGCATTATACATATAAAAATTAGAAATGAAAACAAAACTTATAACTCTCAGAACAGACAATATGTTTATAAAATTATACAGAAAAAGTTGTATCTGAGAACCTCTGTGGTCCACTAGTCGAACTGCAATTTTAGTGAAGGAAAAAAAATCCTTAAAACACAAGGTAAATCACATACATGTTTTGGTCAAATGTCTATAGATAGTTACCTTGGAAACAAACTGATAAACACAAATGCACTATTTGTTCAATGAGCATAAAATATTGCACAAGAACAGTTTTGTCTGAAGAAAAACCAATTTCCCATAGTTTTAACTTCAAAATGGTTCCCACATTTAGATATAGATATATTTTCTAAGTAAGAAAAACTTAATATTCTGTAATACTGTTAGAATCCTATGATGCCCGTTAGTCATCCTCCAGTCTACAGTGGCAAGGGAAATTGAGTGGTGAAGAGTTGGCAAAGATAAAAAGGCAGGTAAGACTGTAAAACACATATAGGCATATGTACATCGGAAAGAGGAAGTCCCCAGTCTCTACTCATGTGACACTGATCACACAAAGACCTCCACAGGTGGTCACAGTGATGGTCAGACAGTGGTTGAATACGACTCTCTTTGTGGGGGCCGCTGCTTTGGAACTTCTTGATCATTCCCCTGGGTTTCCAGAACACCATCTTCTGCATCGCTCTCACTACCATCTGCCACAGTGGGGTCCAAAGACATTGGGCCAGATTTTCTGTGCAAAGGAAAACCAATGCCACTTTCCTGCAAGGAACTATCTATAAAATCTTCATCAGATGAATGGAACGATTCATCATCTCCTATTAAATGGTTGACAATGTGAATTCCATCAAAAGGTGGTTGGCCGGAGAAGCTCCTCTGGCCTTTTAGGCACCTGAGCTGTTAGAAACAAAATCCAGGTTAACTGATAGATTCAAATGGAGGCAACACACACAACTATCCCATAGAAAACCAAGTATTTCATGTTCAAGGAAGAAAATGTCTTATCTTTTTTTTACTTATAGACATAACTACCAATTCTTGAGGGTCTTCGACATGTCATATACTGGACACATAATTTATCTAACTGAATCTAACAGCAATCCTGTCTACAGATTAGGAATTAGAGACCAGGGTAGAGGAAGCTGCTAAGGTTATACAACTAATAGCTGAGCTTCAGTTAACCCTTTACTGTGCTGAAGAGAACATGATAAACTCCACATGTCCATCACCTGATTCAACACGTACCTCATAGACAGTTGGCTATATTATATATTACACTCTTCTTGTCCCTGGACTGCTCTGAGATAAATCATAGACATCCTGTCAGTTTATCTATAAATACATTAGCTGTATTTCTAGGAGAACTTAAAGGCCATGCTTCATTATATATGCCATCTTTAAAGAATATCACCCCAATTATGCAAATGATTACAAATCATTAAAATTTTGAGCCTTGGGGCTGGGAATATAGCTCAGTTGGTTGAGTGCCTCCCCAGTATACATGAAGCTCTGAGTTCAATCCCCAGCACTGCATAAAACGGGCTTGGTGGTATACCCATATAATTCCAGCACTGGGAAGTGGAGGCAGGAGGATCAGTTCAAGGTCATCCTCAGTTAAATAGCAACTTTGAGGCCAGCCTTGAATATATGAGACTGTCTCAAAAAATTGCTTTTTCTACTACTCCAAAGGCCACCACACACTAACACATTTAGGGCAGGAATGTCAGTCATGTGCAACGCTGCCTTTTCCCTCTGCTCCTCCTTGGGAAGAGTGACTCCTCTTGCTGGGGTTAGCTCTTTGGCTTCTTTTTCTTCTTTAGCAAACAGACCTCTGTTCCTCTCTCCCTGGAGTTTACCAGGGCCAGATCCTCATGTGGGGAGGGCTGAGAAGGCAAATGCTATGTATACTTGGTCAGGTCAAGTCTAACTAAATCTTAAGTTCAGTGTTGGGAAATTGTTATCACATCTAAACCTAAACTACATTCTCTAAAAGCACTTTTCTCAGAGTTAAAGGTGATTTCATCTTGCTGCTGCTTTGCTTAAATCCCCTCAAGTCCCCCGACCCCCACCATGGATACCATCACTTCCACTAACATACAATTAAGACATAAAACCTGTCCTTGGAAATTTACATTGTAAATATAAAGTTAATTTGATACTTTTTCATTTGTTCAATGTATCATGACATTGCCCTCCTACAACAAACAGGATTTAAAAAACAGGAAAAAACAATTAGCTACCAAATAGCCCAAGGATTAGAGACCATTTGAAGATCCACCCCTCTCCCAGTCTCATCATTGCTATCAACCTTTATCCTGTTGCTATCTTTCAAATCTTGAGATAAAGGCAATGTGAAATATGCAGGAAATATTACAAACACTTTCAAAACTAACGGTCTGAAAGAAAAGCCATTACAGCCTTGCCTGCCACCTCCCAGTTTTCCTGACAGACTTCCAAGAAGAAGTGAAGAAACCTCAGCAATTCCCTGCTTGCATGTGACAACAGGAAATGAGGGCTGCCACGCGGGTACAGTGGTGTCTGGCCTACGCAGACCTTCAACTTTAACTATAAAGAAATGTCCCTGCCCAACACTAAGAAAAAGAAAGTTATATTGAGGGACAGTGAGACTGATGTAATGCATACATTTCCCAAGAGTGTAAGAGATGGAACCTAAACTTGGAGCTGAATCTTCAGGAAAAAGCACAGAACACCACAGCAACCTCCTTAAGGCTGATGCCCAGTGCATTATCACAACGGCCACGCACTGATGCAACATCCTATCACCATATTGCAACACAAGATTTATAGCTCCGAGTGTTCAATTCAGTCAGTTAATCTCTTCCTTTCTCTTTTCTTCCTTAGGCCCTTTTGAAGAAACACTATGGAACATGTGTCTTCCTGGCTGTTACAGAGGATGAATGTAGCAGAAGAACCACAACTTCTCAATTGTTTGGGAAGCTGTGGCTTTCCATTATTCTAACAAAATTCACTGCAATTAAAACACTGCAGTCTGTATCAGGTGACGTAACTATAGAACATTAACTATAGGTTAAGAGATCATTTCCTTAAAATCAAGGGAGATGCTTAATGCCTCTCTGAGGACTGCTAATGTAACAAGCTAGAGGAATTTTTTTTGGTGGAAGAAAAAGGGAAAGGCAAGTATTACCTTGAAAAACTGAAGCTATTCCTTAAAATTCCAAGGTACTGAGTATGATTTGGAAGGGGCTAAATATGGGCATGTCCTCTGGGAAACCTTATCCTCTGAGGGGCTTGGCTGGAAGACCAGCACTGGGCATTCTGCAGCATGGGGCTTCTGGTGTTCTGACATCATTGGAGTGAGTATACACTCACTGTGTTCTGACATTACTGGAGTAAACACTGTATTGCTAATCCTTATTACCAGACTTTCAGGAGCTAAGTATATTTAAAAGACCACTAATCTTCCCATCCTTATTTCTCTCAAATAGACAACAAAACCTTTAAGGTTTTATGAATAGCAAAGTTAGATTGCTATACATTAATTATAATCTATTGATTATCTGCATTAGAACTGGGGTTATTTCTTAGAAAAGGAGACTCCCTCTCCAGATCTTAGAAATTTAAATCCTGAGAGTGAAATCCTGGAATTCTTTTTTCCCTTATAAACATCTCAGGAGAGTCTGACATATTAAAGTTTGAGAATTACTGTGGAGTTCTGGAGGTGTAGGTGGTAGAATGCTTGCCTACTGTGATGAAGTCTTGGGTTTGATCCTGAGTACCCAAAACAGAAAGAGATGGATCATTGTGGCCAAACTTCTACTCAAACCAAATGGGGCTGACCCAATAAGGAACTGATCTGGCTGAGAAGGAACTCAGTGTTAGGATTTAAACTCGTCTGAGCAATGAGTGTGTGCTTTGCCATGTTTGGTACCCAAATGGCCATCTTCCCAGTTGCACAGTCAGGCTATTCTGGGCCAACTTAACACGTGGAAGTAGGCCCAGGAGCACTATGTTTAAATGAAACCTTTTTGACAACCTTCTCCTTTGAGGACATAGAAAGGGTTCAAGAGTACATGTCTACATGGAGTCAGACACACACCTTAAGCACTACTGCCCATGGAATGTTTTTTGTTTATTTATTTTGCTAACCTGTCTTTTGAGTTAATCAGGGGATCAAAAAAAATTATGAAAACTATGTTGTTGGTTTTGAACTTGTGACCCTTCTGCCTCAGTCATTCAGTTTCTGAGATTAACACACTTATGCCACCAACATCTGGCTTTCTTTGTCTTAAAAAGTGCACATACATGATTTAACAAACTATTTGGAAGCTCACTGTCTTCATTGAACAAAAAATATGTTTGTAGGTAAAATTAGACATAGGTTTTTAAGCTCCTAGTATGCTTTAAAGTACTTCTGAGATTCACTGGGGGGTGGGGTGGGAGGGGGGAGAAAGAGGTGTGTGTGGGGGATTAACCACGGAAATAGAAGCACCAGGACTCAAATGATAGAGGAACTCTTTCTAAAGAGAATTTTGAGACACCCAAAAGATCTCAGCTAGATCACCTTGTGATGAAGGCCTTGCTATCAGTCAAATATTACCAGAGAAGTGATAGTCTAAGAGAAGCAGGAAAAAAGGTAACAAAGATGAAAGACTATTGGGGAGAACACAGACAACTGTCAGGGTGGTCTGCGTTGTATGTTTAGCCTTACTAGATACTTACTATATAAACAACAAATCAGCTATAGACAATTTAGAAAAAAAAGCAGTTCTATAGTCCATAATCCTGAGATAATCATTTACATTTTGGCATATCTTTCAAGATAATTCTCTAACCTTACTTACTTTTCAGAAAGACCAGTCACTATACATATTGCTTTACAGTCTCCTTTTTCACTTACTAGCATACTTGCAAAAGTTTCTTCCTGTCTCCTAAAGGTTGGGTTGTATCTCATTTAGGAATGCAATCTTCTTGCTGGAAAAGTTCCTTTCTTCATCTAAATAGCCATGAGTACTTCTGAACACACAGATCTGCAGAGCTACTTTGTTTGTTAATCCTTTAAGACATATAGCCAGAAGGATAAAATCCAGCACAAGGATTCCACCAGTCTTAAGAATTTTTTGTTTTTTGAGAACGGATCTCCCTATAGCCTCTGCTGGCTTAGAATTTCCTATGAACTCTGAACCTTGAACTCTGAGATTCACCAGTCTATGCCTCCAAAGTGTTGGGATTAAAGGTATGTGCTACCATGTCCAGCAAGTTTCAGGCTTTTATTTATTTTTATCTGTTTTTATGTGTATGAATGTATTGCCTGCATGTATGTAAGTGCACCTATATATACAGTGCCCTTGGAGGCCAGGAGAAGACATCAGATCCTCTGGAACTGAAGTTATAGACAGTTGTTAGCTGCCATGTGGGTACTGGGAACCAAATCTGAGGCACCTCTTCAGCTCCCAAACTTTAGACTTTCTATGATGTAATATTTTTAATCCACCACTCAGTTATATTTGATGAAACAATCATCAAATTCTGGTGACTTTGTTTCAATATAGTACAATGCCCTTCCAACTCATTATTTGGAAATAAATGAAAAACCATTACTATTTTTTTGTACCAAAGATGGGACTACTGAGCCTTGCATAGATCCTACCACTAAGCTATAATTCAGTCCCCAAAAGACTTCTAAATAATTTAATTTATTATTTTTATGTGTATGAGTATATTGCCTGCATGTATGTAAGTGCACTCATGCCATGCAATGCCTGTGGAGGTCAGAAGAGGGCATTGGATCCCCTGGAACTGGAGTTATGGATGGTTGTCAGTCAACATGTGGGTGCTGGGAATCAAACCTGGGTCCTCTACAAGAGCAGCCAGTGCTCCTAACCTCTGAGCCAACTCTCCAGACCCCCTAAATAATA